ATGTACTGTACAAGCAAGAAGTTACACGAACAGAAGGAACGAGGCTAATGACTTTGAGCTAGACCAAACTTATCAAATCTGAGTGTGAATCTGAACCACTGGGAACCGTGTATGTGTGTGTGTGTTGAGCATCAGCAATTGTATGTGTGTCTGTCTCTCATGCCTTCAGGCTTTGCAAGCACCTTCACCGGAATGAGATGGGAGACTTTATGTGTGTCGTAATCTACTGGGTCAAAAAAAAAAAAAAAACAGTTTGGTGTATTTTTAGACCTTTAATCTTTAATGTCATTTCATCGTGTTTTTGTGTTTTGTTTCTTTTGAGAGAGAGAGAAAGCTAGGTTGTTACTGAAAATAGGGAGCCAATGCTACCTAAACGAAAATGTGCTCAAGGGGAGAGACCGAGATGGAGAATAAATTGGAGAAACGGATACCGAGAGAGAAATGTTCTCAAGCCAGAATTAATCAAAACAACAATAAATTTTTTTGCCTGCATCTTCAGATTCAACAAACCGATCAAATTGAAAAGACAAGTGCCATTAGATGGTTCAACTGAATTGCAGCTCCACAACGAATGAATACAGACCTTCAAAGGGATCAAAAATTAGCACGTTACTTGACTAATAAAGAATTCAAGTCGAACCAAACACAACTGACAGTCAAAACGCAAAAATCGAGAAGGCTTGATGGAATCAGAGTTGTTTTTTAAGGGAGCATAGCGCTTCCATTAGAGACGAGCAGAGGATGAAACATGGCTTTGCTGTTTCCCAAAATAAAAATCACTTAAAGTTGTTTTTCCTCAAACAAAATCTCTGTGATGCTTACAGAGAAACTCATCAGAGAAACTCATAAAATGATAAAACTGCACTACAACATAAATGGCAGCAAAACATGTAAATTATCAAGTAGAAAAAAAATGTTGTAATTTCAATAAATTGTTATTTCACGATTTCACATCAGCATGTCATCATTCATAAAGCCATAAATTGTTCCGTCAAAATGAAAAACAATGCAGCAATGAATGCAAGTCACTGCAGACATAACAGTATGATTTTCTGTAAAGCTGCTTTGAAACAATGTGTATTGTGAAAAGAGGTATACAAATAAATTTGACTTGAATAACATCCATTGTGATCATTTGTATTTGTGAAACCTGTATTCTTTATTGCCTCTGCACCTAAATCTGCAAATCAATTCCTTTTGATTTTGTGAAATTACATTTGCCTGGCAGGCTAATAAAGCATCATTGAGTTGAATTGCCGTAATTTGAATTAAATTGAGTGAGCGAAAGAGTGAGAGATTGCTCAGGGACGAACAGAGCTGAAGACACAGGAAAAAGGGACAGATGAGAACGATAGGAAGGTGAGAAGAGGACAGACTGTGGAGGAAAAGGAGCGATGTGGAGGGAGTGAAAAAGGCAGGGATTGGCAGGAGTGACAGGATGTGACCGTGAGCTCATGGGGCGGCTGCTGCTTTACTCTCCAATCACATAGTCTCTCTGTCCACTCGGTCATTTAATCTGATCAGGGAAGTGTGGGGAGAGAGAGGGTGAAGCGTGAGAGTGAAAAACACAGAAGAGGGTAAGAGAGAATGAAGATGGGAAGGTTAGAGCAGAAGGAGACATTTTATTGCTGCTCCTTTTTCTTGTAAATGCTATTTATCTTTAATGACATCCTCTATTGTTCTTTTCCAATCTTGCTTTATTCTTCATTTAGTCTTAAAGGACAGTCTTTAAAACATAGAGCTGCTCAATAATGGCTAAACAGTTAATTACAGTTAAATATAATTATTAAACATGATTTTTGTCATTAAATTTTTTTTTTACATTTCATCAGATTTATTGCACTTTCACATATGCACAAATCAAGAGAATATCAGCTTGCATGTTTTGCTCGCCGATTTATTCACAGAAAACCACGTGAAAGAAAACAGACTGGCTGTATTACACATTTTTTTTTAGCAGAATATCTCAATAGAGATTGCTAAACTCCAAATTGTATGCCAGTGTTTTTAGCTCATCCGGGCTTTTTCTGTAAAGTAGAGTGTGCATGTGCACATGGTTGCCAGGTTGGGAAGATTAAGTAAACAGAAATCAAAAAAATGCATCGATTTATGGAAAATGCTCTGATTGGGGGTAAACTCTTGAAATCTGGCAACCACAGCCATGAAAGCCTGTGGAGGCTTGTTACCGATGCAAGATAACACAAATGCCAAATTAAAATACAGTTCTCAGGATAAATAGCCAGTGGGCAAATGTTGCAGACGATTATGCTTAATAAATCGAGAGAGAAGCCGAAATCGTGATCACGATTGAAATTTATTGTGCAGTGCAGCCACAGTTAAACCTGAAATCACCAGCTTCATAAACATACCTAATTGTGTTCACTACAAGTTAGGCTCAATCAAAGGCATTTGTGTTAATGTTGATTACCACAATCATTAATTTCCACTTGTCCTTCCTGGGCTACAGTGTAAAATGGAAGTGTAAAATGGGGCCAGTCAGCATACAATAAAATATTCAATAATATAGCCGCAGGAGATAAACAATGATTTTAGTTTAAAAATTGCTTTCTAATTGTGTATTTCCAATTTTACAACTTTGTTGCCAAGCCAACACCATAAACCCAACTGTAAAAATGATTTAAACAGCTTTATAGCTCAATTAATACACATTCTTAACAGAATAATTCATGTAAGTGCCTTTATATAAGGCACTTATGCCTATATATAAGTGCCTACATATATAAGCTTTACATTTCTGTTGTTTGCCAAAATTGTCCCCATTTACTTCAAATAAATACCTCACTATCACCTCTTTTAAAGAAAAGTATGAAAGGTTAATATTCAATATTACTCCACAAATGTTGAGTTTAAATTGTTGCTATTCTATTAATGAAAAGGCAGAAAGGTTTGTGTGAGCTTTAGTTCTATAGTATGGATAGAAACCACTATTGAAGTCAATGGAAAGTCCCCACTATGATGAAAAGCAAACATCTGTGTGTGTGTGTGTGTGTGTGTGTGTGTGTGTGTGTGTGTGTGT